TTTTCTTTCAATGCGTTATGACACATGGTTATTACATTTGTTTTAAACTTTCCAACTGCAAAATATGATAATAAAAATTTCAAATAAATACAACATTGAATAGTTTATGAATTACAGACAGTTTTCATATATTAACTTAGTTTATTTCATTATAAACATTTCGTAGCATAACATACTACTAATTATCAATAGTTATGATATGATGTGGAATATGTATCGGTCAACTTGAAAGATAAATTCGTTACTGATTTTTTATACACATCAATGTTGATACCTAATCAACTAGTATTGTCACTGTCGAACTTTTGTATTTGTTTTGCGTGTCTGGAATGCGTTCTTTAGTTTGTTCGACAGATATTGTGTATCGCATATGTATTTGGTATATCCGTGTACCAATATTTCTGCGTTCAAGTAAATAAATAAATTTACGGGCATTGTAAAGTGAGTAAACATAAAGTGGTAACAAATAATTCGAGTTAATATGAATATTTTTCATAGAGTTAGTAATAGTATCAGGCATAAGATGTATAAAAAAATACATGATTCCAGTTGATATCGTTTACTAGTACAGAATTACTGACAGAATAGACGTCTTAATGGTCATAGATCCTGTATGTATAAAGTTGTTATTATTAAGTAATGCATGATAAAAGTAGTCAGATACGTCAAAAAACCGAGATAACTACGACTTTATATGTGTTTACTAATGGTAGATATCACATTTGTACCATGGAAAGTGTATTAAACACTTTAATCACTGAAGTTCATTTTGGTTTTCCACATCCCATTTATTATTGAATGGTACTGATTATCACCGCGTAAAGTTGTAATTGGTTAAGAGACTGCAACGTTTAGTTTCTTGAAGTGAACCACGTTATTTAATTGACATTTGTTGAATAGGAGAAATGACGAGAATAATCTAATCGTACATTAGTTATTTAAATGATTTTATACTTTTGAACTGCCATGTTTTGTTTATTCAACAGAATTCATAAAAGTAAATCTCATTGACTCAATGATCTGTTGAGATTCTTCCTAATCTATGTCGTCTTGATTTTGATTTACCTTAGTGACTGCACGCAAAACTCTGCTGCAAATCAACTTGAAAGACGTTCCTTTAGCAGAAGATGTAGATTTAGACAGTATAGCTGAACAATTAGATGGTTATTCCGGTGCAGACATAACGAATGTATGCAGGTATATAAATAGTTTCAATTTTTGTTTATTTGTTACTTTTGAATTTCAAAGATAATATCACCAATAATTTATAATTGACTATAGGGGTATGGTTTAATTTGAAGTTAATTTGTTATCTTCAGCTTTAAAGTGAAGGGGAATGTTCATATTTTAATTTGTCTTAGCTTGAAACTCAACAGTAGACACTCCAAACGTTTTCCACATTCCGAACTGAGAAGGTTAAATCTTATAACAAATGAAACCAAATAACAAAACTCATTAATGAAATAGAGATATACTGTTGTTTTGCTCTCGTTTAAAATTCATCAGCTATATATCTTCAGCATCAACACAGGATCGTTCCTAACGGTTTCAATTTTCACAGTGAATACAGTGCTATTGATTTATCGGTTTGGAATCATGTGGTTATCATTTTCATCTTGAGTCGTTTTGCGGTTTCGAGGAACCGTTCTCGGATACGATACTTTCTACTTGGTTGACTCCTTAGCTCACGATTTCTCGCTAAAACTCTGAGCAACTTACTCTTGAGGACGTGATTTTTTTATAGAGGCATTTTTGGAAGGTTCGAAAACAAGATTCTCAGACAGAGTTAAAAGAAAAGCAGCAACCTATCCTTAATGTTTGCAACAGTGATTACACTTTATTGTTAATCCATAGAAGTTATGAGGGATTTTTATTGGATGCCGAGTTCGCGGCTGAATGATATCACTTTTACCATCGGACATGAAGTTTCTAAGTTCGATCGCATAAAGCATAATTGGTGCGCGTTTCAAACTAAGATAAAAGAAATACGCCTTACTTCTCAACTTGACTTCAGTCTGTGAGGTAAAGTATCTTCGAGACAAATAAACATATGCGGATAAACAAAGTCTTCTAAAAGCGTTGCGTCAAGATTCATGAATCTGAAAATCGTTAGATAATAAATTTCGTGCATTTCGTTGACTTTTAATTCCAGTCTCCGTTTCTATGTTATCTATCTATGTTACCTTCAAACAAAAACATTTTGTGACTATTGTCAAAAAAGGTGAAAGTTTGTACTTCTAGTTCTGGGTGCCTTGAATGCGGTATTAGAACCTTGTGCTCTGTGTTGTTTAGTTTATTGGACTGAAAGCTGGAGATAGAGTACGGTACTGATATCGGCCTCAATCTATTATGTGGAGGATTTGATGAGTTCTTCAGTTACTTCCTATGTACAACTAGGTACTTTCGTCACACATAACTTTCAACTGTGAACTCATGGTATGCGTTGGTTCCGTCTATCATATTTTAAAGAATAAATGGGGTCGTTCACAGCCTATTCCATGAGCCTGAATATAGTTACTATGTTGTCTACTCAACACTAACACTGATTGGGAAACTTACTGTTTTCCCAGTTAACATATCAAGTGTATTGTGAAGAGGAATCAATGAAAAGCTTTGAACTGAAAGTTTTTGTCTGTTATCGATCACTGCTATAGTGTAGTTTTGTAATAGAGAAAACACGCGTTTGTGCATGTCATAACCTATCTCAGTTGTCATCACAAACAAATGAACTATAACTTCGTTCTGCTCGTTGCACCTGACCGTTTTTTCCACTAACTGGTAATTCAGAGTCACTAGTTCTTGTCCTTTTAAAATTCAAATTCGTTTTATTAATTCTCACTCGTCATTGTTGGAGTTTTGTAAATGTCATATTTGTTGCAATTTTCAAGTTAATGTATCAGTAATATTTTCCTACTCACATAATATCCCGCCCGATTTTATAGTGATATATTTTTGATTATCCTAGAGATGCTTCAATGATGTCTATGCGACGAGCTATAGAAGGACTCTCAGTAGAGCAAATTAAAGGTCTTAATACTGCAACACTTAATCAGCCGACACGAATGGCTGATTTCGAAGAAGCAGTCGGTCGTGTGTGCAGATCTGTTTCAGCCAGTGATGTTGAACGGTATGAGAAATGGATGACAGAGTTTGGGGCTACATGAACTGCTGATTTACGTTTACCGATGTGGACTTATACCATTCGCACATATTTGATTGGCTTATCCAGGTTTTTACCTTGCAAATAAATGTACTTGATTGTCATATCTCAAACCTACGTATCTCAAATCATCAGATTATATGGATACTACATCCATGGCTCAAATGACTGAATAACTGAATCCAGCCTTCCAATTAATTGCACTTTACAATTGAGGAAAAAATACATCAATTGCCATGTTTTCTTGTTGGTTTACACTCGAACGTGTTGGTTCTTCTCTACGCTTCCTACCCGTGATGGATATTTTTTCACTTTACACTAGGTAGAATGTTTTTGATTTGATTAATCTTGTATGTCTTTCAGTTGTCCAGAAATAGGCTAATACAATCTTTGTTGATAACTGTATGGGTATTTATTAGCCACATATTCGTTCTATAGAACTCCCCAGTGGATTTATTCTATTGACTGTTTACTTGAGAACCTGTGAAACATTCCGGCTGGGAACGGGAAAGCGATAGTCGATTCTGTAATTTCCCTTTCTAATTAGATAACTCCTTATGAGTTGTAAATCGATTGCGTATCATCGTTGTGATTGCAAATGTAATCATTCAACACAATTTCAACGAACATTTTCCACATTGATTTCACTTTAAGACTAGAAATCTTTTGATCAGCTGCCAATGTAACTGTACTTTTCGGTCATTCTGCAATACCTTAATATTCATTCTACAATCTAGCAAACAAAAACTATGTATTCCTGAAAGTGTCGGATTAAGTCATATGAAGGGGTGCCACATTAGTTTTTAATGGTGATTTTTCGTTAGTGAACAATAAATATCATCACTCAACTCAATTATGCAGTGATTATTACACTTCGCATTAGGGCTGTAAGAGTAGACATACAAAGCTAAAACGTATTGGACAAAATCATCATGACGAATAGTAAGGAGGTGAAGCAATGTTAAGAAATTATTAGGAAGCAAAGCAAAGTATGGAGTAGGATGCTGATTTGAAGGAAAATAACAACATGCTCGCCATTGCAATTAATTTTAAGGCTTATTGTCAAACGTTACAGATTGTCGATTGTTTTACGTAAGCCCACAAAACTGAAAATAACAGAGAATTGTGACATTTCGATGTGACTACTTCGAGGCTTCTCTCCTACTTCAGACATGTATATATAGTTTGAAGCTACTTTTGGTGGATTCTCATTTTTATAGCTTGTTGAAAGTGTATGATTTTATTTGGAGGACAGAAACGAAGACACTGGTTGGTGTGGGAAAGCATACGTTAATGTATTCTGTGGTGTTCGTGCTAAGTAATAAATGTTTTGTAAATTGTTACGCGTCTGTTTGAAATTACGAGGTTATACCTTCAATTCTGCTCACTGTATTCTCTATTACTTGAGTGTTAGTGGATTTGTGGTCACTAGATTACGTATTGGACAGTTCTAGGAATTACCAGTTCATATTACCGAATTCGGTACTACTGCATCTACTCATCACAGTTTTTGTACTTAAAAGTTTAACCATTAAGACAGTGAAATAATATTGAACATGCAGCTCACAATAAAGTGGACAACATGTACAGACCTTGTTGTAATAGTCATTCACTCGAGATTTCGAATCATGTGTACCGTATGCGTTTGAAGTCAATTTTTCTGACTGACCCAGATCGGAAAATTCGACTGGATGTAACACCAACTGTGTGACGACTATAATGGATTTGGGATTCTTCAAGAGAGAATTATTACTACGGAAGATTCTACTTAATGTGAGTATAACTTTAATAAAACAGTGGATTAGACAGAATAATTAATGTTACATAAAAGCAAAAAGTGTACAGGCATTAAAAATGTATATTTAAAATTTAATAGTCAATAAAATGTCTGTAGTTACTTTGTGTTAATTATTTTTAAGAAATAAGTTTATGAACTATCTAGGAATTTCTGATACATGTGTTTAGTGACCACCGTGATCTTTTCCAGATCCTGGTTTATGACAACCAGTTCCACAATGTTGTGGCTTGTCATGAGATCCATGACCAGCACCCTCTTTGTTGTGGCAGTCTTTCACACAGTGTTCAGACGATTTGCCATGCTCTTTGTTGTCATGACCATGACCGGCTTCTTCATGATGTTCGTGATGATGGTCAGCTGAAGTGAAGAATATGAAGAAATCCAATTAATCAAGTCTACTGTGTGGATGAGCCATACATTTGATTTTTTGTGTGTGAGTTAAAAACAAAAAACCGGCTCTTTATAATTAAAGATCAGTCATGGCTTATTGCATACTCATTTGGTAATAAATATTTTATTTTTGAATAATTATGTTTACTAATGTTCGTACGTCACTGCATTATGCTTGAAGCACAAATTTAGTAAAACGCACGAACGGAAATAAACGTTAACCCAAACTCACACATAACCCTGAAACCTTAAACAACAGTCAAGATTGTTTGTCATGTCATATTGATAGTCATGCCTAGGTACATTACTGGTTCGTGTTGTCAAGAAATTAACCACTGACATTGATTGTGTATACAATCTGTTGAAAGCATTTCATACTAAGATAATGTGAAGTCATTATTTATAGACGTCAAATAATTAGGCTTTGTGTAATGTGTGAACTTAAACTATGTAGTTTACACGAGAGACATCTATAAGTTTTGATATGATTGTTTAACACATGAGTTGAATATATGACATTCCAGTGGAACAGTAGTAGACATGGTGATCACTAGGCATTGCTAACATTCTAATTGCTAGTTGGTTTCTGCTGACTATTCTTGTAAAGCAATTTGGAATGTGGTGACTGCTTGCAAATATCCAACGCACATTTTGTGGTTCATTCTAGACAACATTAGAGGTCAATGAAGATAACTGTATACTTCAGAACTGGGTGATGCTGGTACAAGTGTTCTGAGCGTTGTACTCAAATGATGTACGTTAACCATACGTTTGGTTAATAGATCCAAGGACGGTAGTATGAAGGACGAATAGTTTATTTGGCTGAGTGAGTGAGTGTGAGACTAGCACTAGACTGGATATTGAGTGTATGAAAGAGGCATCCCTCATGAGTGGTGACACAACAAATGGAACTTTGACCGTGAGCTCTTAGCTAGTTTAGTAAGGTGAGCAGATGTGTCTAAAACATACTGAACTGCAGAATCCGATGAGTTGTTTAGATGAATTAGTTTAGCAATCAAATGGTTAAAGAGTTCAGTTCATCCATGAGGAACCATAGGTGGTGACTGCACATGGATAATACAATTTCGGTGTGCAGAAGATGTAGCCTTTTCAAATGACTCTTACCACTTCGATCAATAATAACTGTCGAAATCTTTTGCTTATTTACTATCATATACTGTGTATTAGGGGGTCAATTCCTTTAGTTAACTTACACACATTACGTATTGGGTATCGTATAATGGAGGTGATTAGCTGAAAGTCTTGCGTGTAGAACTAGTGCTTCGTTAGAATTCACTGGGAAGTGTATTTGCATCTCAGAAATAACACACCTCGAATATTTTGAAGTGCATCGTTGAATTATCGAAGGAGTTTATCTCTGGGCAATATAGATTCGAGCTTTGTAAAACGGAATTCATACTACAGATTTTCTCGGTTAAAATGTCAGGCGTTTGAAGTAATGGTCGGTAGAATTATATTCCAACGGAAATGTCAACAATTTGTCAAAGGCGTATATCCGTCTTCAGGAGAATACAAAAGTGTGTACTATCCACCTCTGAATATTGACACGAAATCTTCGCAAGCACTTATCATGTGAAATATGACTTGATAAGTAAAAGCCATCTTCGTTGTTAGCCATAGTAATGAGTGGAACTAGTGGTTCGTGCAGTGACTCCTGTCAATGAAGATACTTCTGCATAAATGCGTTTGGCTGAAACCGTATGAAGAGTTTTTGTGTCTGGAGAGGCAAGTTTATGACAATCAAAGTGGTCAGTGTCAAGAAAGCTCATGTGATATGTGATGAGCCAAACCTGTTATGTAATTACGTATTATTTTGATATAGAATAAGATTTGGACTGAAAACTACATTGAATGTTGTTAAGTCAATGTTTGGCTCTGAAATGAGCCACCATTGCTTATGGATTCCATCTGTGATAAATAATTCACCCGTTTTCATAAAAATAGTTGTTTTTGGTTGAATAAATTTGTGAAAGAAACAGATATAGTTTACTGCAAAGTCAAATGTTAGACGAAATTGTTGAATATAATGAGTGTATTTAACGTGATGAAGACTTTGCAACAGTACTTATTTACCGGGTATAAACAACAGCAAACAGTTGGTTTTGCATGTGCTAGTAGATTTTGATGATTAAATAGATACAACCAAATCATCCAAATGCATAATACTACTTCAACCTCATTCAATGGTATGACATGTCGTTGATACTCGATCCAGATATTTCGACTACTAACGTGCTAAATCTCTACCAGTTCATCATTCAAAACGAACCATCTGCAAATGCCATGTGTTTCGACCACTGGAAATCAATTCTATATTTCCCAATACCGCGGTTTTACACTAAACTGTTAGACAATTAGACTCAGTATACTAACAAACTTTATTTCTACTCAAGTAACTCAGCATAATCATTACAATAGTGTGAGTTAAAGCGTAATTTTAAAAAGGTGTAATTCACTTACCCCCATGAGAAGACATAGTTGATAATAACTGCTGTTTAGTTTACGAGTTACTTCATATTCTGCCTGTGCACAGCTTCGTTTATATAATGGAAAATTTACTTCCGGTTTGATTAATTAATTACCCAATATCAATTGTTGTTATGTTGTGGTTGGTTAGATATCTGCAAATTGTTTCAACGAACTGACAGTTTATTCATGTATCAACCATACAATTCATGAATTAATTGTCATGTTCCATTCTATTGTATGCAAATATAAAATATTTGAAAGTGATTTCGTTTGAATAAACAATTTATATGTTGAATTTTTGAGTTTGACATTATTATGGTGACCTAAAATTAGTTCACAAACAAATTTTGTCCTGAAAATAATTAAGTGAATCTTCATATATTTTAATGTATATTTCATTTCTCCATGTACGTAAAAACAAAATCCATTTCGGTTACAATCGTACAGTGAGATACCTGAGTGTAGATGTTTGTCATATTGCAAGAATCTCACCGATCCAATTTCAAGTATAACTAATTAATGAGCTTTAGTGTTTTGATAAGTCGAAGCTAGACAACATTTGAGATGGAAACTGAAATCAACAGTTTGATGATTTGGATTATTTCACGAGACAATTTGAGAGTTGTGTGTGAACTAATTGAACTTAAACGATCCAGAAATCCCCATGGAATATTCCATAACAAGGAACTTTGTTGTCTGATTTTAATATTGCTGTAATGTAGTGAACACCCAGTTGTACTGAAGGGACTCACCGAGTACGCGAAGTATCGTGCGAAATTCAGTGAAGCAAAAACTGTTGGATTCTGTTCGTGATTACATTGTTATACATGGTTTCTTAAGCAGTGTTGTAAATTCCTTCGTCGGTGTAATATTAAACGTAATGTTAGTTTGGTGAGAATATATTTCTTGAGCCAAATTGAATCTCTTCAAACGCATATATGGTTGAGTAAGAAGCGAGTGTTACACAGAGATTACGTGCTAATTACTTTCTTTCCTCCCAAAATTCAGTGGATTCATCTGCGATCTATATCCTAGATGTACAGCGAACCGGGGAAAATGAGAGAATTGACGGGGACAACAGACTAAACAACCAAATGTTCAAATCTGATCTTCCGTGCAACTTTTGTTGCAAGTGAGCATCGAACCGAGCTAGCTTCTAGACTAGCCACCATTCCACCGAAAAGTATAGATGAGCATTGGTTGCAACTGCATGACGCTATGAAAATGGCGAGTTAATCCGCTCGCGGCTTCGTGAGACGTTTCGCTTATAAACACTGGGTTTCTTCAGGCTCCTTACAACTCATTGAAGTCCGTCGGTCTACTCCGGGTGACCGTGAGTTTGACCACGTAATGAATCCTAGCAAAGCTTGTGTAAGGGCCGAGAAGCCTAGTGGTCGGAGCGTGCTAATGAGCTGGAAGCAGCAGCTGCATCTGGTAACTATCGGGAGCTCTTTCAACTCATCTGAGCCACTTGCAGCAAGAAGTCTGGTGTGAGCGAAACAATCTACGTGGTTGACGGGATGACAATCACTATCATCATCCATTGACTTTCTGGTTAAGGAACTGACAACGTTGTTTACAAAGATCTGGGAGCTAGATAATGTTTCAACATCATGGAACGAGTCAATAGTTGTCCCTATCTTTAAAAAGGGTTCACGTTCTTTCTGTAGCAAATATGGGGGGATAAGTCTACTTTCAATTGCGTCCAAACTGTTGGCTTCCGTCATACTTCATAGGTTGTTCAAAAACCGAGAAAGATTGACTCGCGGGTAGCAGGCTGGTTTTCGTTCTGGTCGAGGATGTATTGATCATATATTCACCCTCCGCCAAATGTTAGAACACCGTCATACTTATCAAAGGCCTACAATCGTAGTATTTCTTGACATCAGGGCTGCCTTCGATTCGTTGGATAGGACTGTTCTCTGGGATTGTTTATTGAAGAAGGGTATGCCTGAGAAGTTCATTAACATCATAAAGTTCCTACATACAAACACCTCAAGTCGAGTGAGGGCATACAACCACCTTTCTCTACTGTTCCATTTAAGCAGTATGGTTAGACAGGGTTTCTCGAACTTGAGTATGAGGATGATATTATCTTACAGTGCGATAATGCCCAAGCCATGCAATCCACACTTAATCAGTTGGCAATCAGTGTCCATTGGTACAGTATATGCTTTGCACCTTCGAAGTTCAATATACTTCTACAAGACTGGCAGGATTCTTATCCCGTACTCACCCTTGTTGGTGAGCAGATAGAAGTGGTCGAGAAGTTCGCGAATCTGGGTAGCTGTGTGAGTGCTGGTGTTGACGTGAGTGATGAGGTCAATGCACGTATAGTGAAAGCCAGAATGGCTTATGCTAATCTGGACCATCTTTGGTGCTTCGTAATGCCACTCTGAGTGTAACAGGTCGCATCTAGAATGCGTCGGTCAGAGCAGTTTTGCTCTACGTTTGTGCAACATGGCTTCTCCGAGTTGAGGACGTTATACGAATCTCTGTGTTTGATCATCATTGTCTCCGAAGGATCGTTGACATCCAGTGGCAACACCATGTTATTAATGCAGAGGTTCGGCATCGTGTGTTCAGGCACAGAGACGATAATACAATTGGTGTCACTATCTTGATACACCGACGTCGGTGGCTTGGACATGTTCTACGAATATTGTCACAGAGAATTCCACGTCGTGCATTATTTGCCGACTCTGGGACTGTTTGGAAAAAGCGTAGAGGTGGTCAGTGTATGACATGGTGTCGGGGTATGAAAGAAATCTGCAAAGTGCTGGCTTCTGTCTGTCCTTCACAACTTCCTGGCTGGGGCCTGAGAGATGGTGCAACACAGTGGGTAGAAACGTTATCAGATATGGCTCAGAATAGAAACCGGTGGCGATCTTGCTGTAACTTTCTTTTACTTTCTTCATAAAATTTGTCGTAACTTCTATAACTGAAAGAATTCTTTCTGGTTGTACCTTTCCGTTTCCACAATTATTATTATTATTATTATTATTATCATTATTATTATTATTATTATTATTATTATTATTGTACCACCATACACTAATCTGTGGTCCTATTTGTTCTCTTTTTTTCTTATATGCACCTTACATTATTTTTCTCTTCCCATTCTCATCGTTTTGTGTGGCGCATATATATCTGGTGCCCCCTTGTGCCAATATTTATGTGTTCAAACGAACAAATAAATAAATAACCGGAATGATTTTAGCTTCTTTTTTGCAAATCTCGATGGGACTCGACTAGACATTTGTTTATTAAGTTCAATTCTGTAATTGTATTCTTATAGGTGTTTGGTGTTTTCTTCAAGATGTTTACCTTATATTGTTGTGAGTTTTACTGAATATAACCTCTTTATTGAAGAGGAGGAATGTACTTGTAAAATCTCAGCGAATGAACTTTGAGGCAAATCCAACTTTTCGCCTGACAGTCTAGTCCAAAATTTTCAGGGAAATACCTCTTTATTCTTATCATTCTTTCTAATGTTCTTATTTTTGTGTTGCGTGCTATCTTGGAATTTGCCTTCTTTACTGCCCTTTCTAATACGCTTTCTTGTAATTTATACTACGGTAGTCGAACTCTCTGCATTTAGGTGTATAATCTTCACTGATGATAGCATTTTGAATGCTAGAATAGATTGGTTCCGCTTTGTTCTCAGATATTTATGAAACACTTACGCAGCTATTCATACTATTCAATATGTATACCATTTCTGAATTTCATGTCTTTAGTTTTTTAAATATTTTATCATCTTTGGATAGTGTTATTGAGACTGCTTTATATTATTTCATTTTCCATTTGTTTGGATTTTGCCTCTGGTGTATCAAATAAGAATAGATCTTCATTGATTCAACGCTATTATGTTTCACTTTTTGAGCGCATCCACTTTCATTTTTGTTTGATTTCTTTTAGTGACATTTACCTCTTCCGGTGTTTCTGGTCAATGAATTATCGTATTTTCTTTATGAGCTATGAGTATTTTGTTAGCTTGATTTTATTTAAAGAATAGGTTGGTGAAATCCAGTTTTCTGAAAATTTTGATTAGCATTACAAGAATGATATGAATAAGTTTCCCCCGAAAGGCTTTTCTGCGTCAGTGTTTAGTCTCTCTACGTTGATTAAGGTAGTTTAGAGTGTGTATTTGTTCAGTCATCTCGGTTGTCTCCTTATCACCAGTGAATAAGTTACTGATGAAATTGAGGCAAGGTACGGAGTGACTACATGAATTTTTTTATTCGCACAATTCGTTCACAATCCAGAGTTTCCTATACTTCCGATTCTAGATATGTCAAACACACCATAACAGTCAACAGTGCGAAAGTTGGTGAAATTACAGAAATAATTACACCGAAACTTCATGAAATATACTGTTAAAGACGTTTTTAATTTGTAGATGTAGTAAAAAATGTGAATATCACCGACAAAACTATGTTTTCTCCGCACATTACATATAGCTTCAGGGATATTCCACTGACAGAAACCATCGATTACACATGCGAACAGCTTTTAAGAAATAAATCAAGGCTACTTATGCCGACAATGAACATATAGAAGCTTCCGGTCATATGCATCACGGATACCCAATTCATGTCTAATAACGAATTTGTAGAGAAATAAATGGAGAAGCGATGAGATCTTCACTAGATTCAATACTCGTTGATGATTTTTCTCCTTTCCAGAGAGATGGAACGTTCTGTGAAATGTGGTTTACTCACAATATCTGAGGCAGCCAATATACTCACTTCCATAGCTTCACACCTCTTCAGTACAAGATAAATGTGGTCAAGTGTCTCAGCCATAGAGTCAGACTATTGTTTTGAGGATAGTGTAGATGATGAGATGGATAAAGTAACGGCTACCACTATAACGGGACGAGTACTAGAGAAATTGGTTTTTTAAGCTATTTCGCAGATCCATGTATGCGAAATAAAAACCTCTGGGTGAGTAGAATACAGTAATAAGATCTAACATGATATGTTCCCTTGCTTCCGGAACTAAAAACTGGAGATAGAATATGCATGCCTACGTAACTCAGCTCA